CTCAACAGATATGTGAAAGAGTATGAACCATATCTGAAGGATCCTGTGGGCTTCCCCAAAGTTACGGTGAGTACATTTTCATATACTCTCAAGTAGGGGTTGAACGACTTCTGATTTTTTGAAGTCGACTTTTATGTGATAAAAGTCGAGTCGAATTCGACTAGTCACTGATGACTTCATTAATGAACAAATAAGTCTGGAGCTGAGACTCAAACACCTTGTGCACAGCTATGGCATATGACACAGCGCTGCCCACATGGCTGTTGCTCCTATAACAGCTTTTTTTATCAGTTCTTTTGTCTTTAAGTCGTTATATTTCTCACAGATTTCTGCTCATTCTAAATCAGATACAGATAAAGTAGCACAGTAAAGATTACATTCATATGAATGCATTAGTGAGAGCGATTGCGTGTGTGAATTAATTATACATGGCAGCGTCTCCCTACTAGTAGTGAAGCTGTGGAATTTAGTTATTAAGAAAAATATGCTTGAACTTTTCAGTTTCTAAGCTATTTTATTGAGAAATCACAGAACAGTGTTGACAATACATTTCCGCGCTGAATGATTCTGTGCGTGCGATGTACGCGCTACTGTCTGTAGCCTATGTGTGTGCGATTACAGTGCAGCAGCGCATTAGATTAGAATGGCGATTAATTTACCTGTACAATAAGCTGTTTAAAACGTGCATTCTCCAGTTCAGTTTCGAGCATCCAGTAATATAATCACACGTCTTGTGGAGCGCTTTCAGAGTATGCATTTATTTGTCATTTGAACTGTTTGGAAACGGAGCGTAAATGTGGAAGTCCTTCAAAGATTTCTTATTCTGTTGCGCCCTCTATTGGACCAGCGACTAGTCGACGTCAAGCTTAAAGCGTCATGGCAGAGCATTGAAGTCGACTAGTCGATTAGTCGGTACAACCCCTACTCTCAAGTAATTACATTCAGTCAGTTTTAGGCCAACACATTCAGGCTTCTTAATACCCTAAGCATTATAGCATTAAGCTCCTCTAAATGACTGTACGGTAGGTATTACTCATCATTAGCACTCAATAAGGTGGGTGGCTTATTGTCACCTTGGGTAGTCCACGAATATCCCCGCTGTCTCAGCCCAAGCACAAAGGTATCAAGGGTACCTTTGTTTTTGTTTAGATTGGGGTTGTAGCTTGGTCAATAGGTTATCAAAAGTCCTTGTTCTAGCTGGAACCCTGGCACAACGGTGGCCCATCGATCAGGCAGGAGATGTGCTGTGACTTGATAAGCTAATCCCACCCATGAGTCCTGGCTGAGCCCCTCCATCAACTCAAACAAGGAGAGAGTGTGACATGTGTGGTAATGTGTTTGATAAGGAACGAGGGTGCGCCAACACGTATGTTTGTACAGAGGACAGAAACCTGCATCGATCGCATAATACCTGTGCACTCAGGTGCTGGTGAGAATATTTATATAGTATGTATAGGGCAGGGTAAATTCCTTGTAATGTTTCTACTCAAATTCCAATTCAACATCTGTGACTGATTCCATTCTAATTGCAACTCACAATTGAAAGTGCTTACTTTATATATAAAACAATAGTGTATATTATTTTAAACATAAAATTATATATATTTAATATTTTATTTTAAATGTATATACATGTATTTAAATGTATAAATTTATATGTATAATATATATTATAGTATTACACAAATAGTATATATATACTGTATATATATATATATATATATACTATTTGTGTAATACTTTATTGTTATAAATATTAAAATATTAGTTATTTTAATTTGATTAATTATTATTTATTTTTGTAATAAAATATAGACTTGTCATTTGCACTTATATATTGTTGCTCTTTTGTTAGTTTTGACTGCTTCTATTGTCCTCATTTGTAAGTCGCTTACAAAAAGCGTCTGCTAAATGACTACATATATATATACTGTATATATGTATATATATTATACATATATTATACACACTCACACACACACACACACACACACACACACATATATACATATATAGTGTGTGTGTGAATATATATAAAACAAAATGATGTATTAAAATATTTATTTGTAACTTGATATACATATAAAATAAGCAGTTACACAGATATATTTTAGTTATTTATAGTTAAATATACATCTCTAAAGATGTATGTGAATTCCTGGGCGAACATGACTTTTTACAGCTTGTTATTACTTTCTTGAAAGACATCACGTGCCGTGCAACACAACCAGGCTCTGTTTAGTACGGTGGCCGAGAAGTGCAAAGCCGATTCACAATTCTGAAAACAAAATAACAAATTAAAAACGCAAATGCAAGTCTAAAAATAACTAAATGTAAATAGACACCCCGTATTTTTTATTCCATAGTAAGGACAATTCATACAATGCATTTAAACTGAGCTACTTTAATACCATCTCCGAACTTTCTACCACGACTCTGCTGTTCTTCCGCTGGTTCTTCCCTGTATACGTTGATTGACAGATGTCTCGTCCAGTCAGCGGTGAATAATCCCAAACCAATGGCGCTGTCTCAAACTATACCTACCTTTTCCGGTTTGTCTGATTTGTCGTTGTGTTTTCTGACTTGTTATAATGTTTTCTGAATTGTTGTTGTGCTTTCTGAATTGTTATTTTGTTTTTTAGACTTGCATTTGCGTTTGTAATTTGTTATTTTGTTTTCAGAATTGTGATCTGCTTTGCCACTTCTCGCCACCGTAGTTTAGGGTCTAATCGTGGGTAATGTGCCTATGTTTGTGTTTTTAAGCCTCAATAAGTATGAATGATTGTGTGAACTCAATGCAGTCGGGCCGATCTGTATTCAGCGGGAGTGCATTGCTGCGGCAGCGCTGGTGCCCTTGGGGATTGAGTTGGACTGCATTAATTTGCCATCAAAGCACTGGTGTGTAGAGGCAAGGCGTGTAGTGTTGACACACAGATTGAAATAATACTTGTTGCACGGTGTCTTTTCGTCTCCAGATCTTGCTGCTCCTGTTCCATGCGCTTCCAATGCTGGGTTTATTTGCATATGGGCTTTGCACACCTGGCTGCACTTGGATGCTTGATTGGACGGTATATTTTGCAGGTGCCATTTTACAGGTAAGACATGAAAACTTCTCCAATATTTAGTCAAAGCTGTGAGAAGAGAGCAAGAAAACATCTGTTAGAAACTGTAAATTCTATGTCTAAGGTTCAAGTTAGAAACAACCATTGAGGTATACTGTATTTCCTCCATAGTTTCGGGCAGAATCTAGAGATTTCTGTCTACTGCATGCTGATGTTATAGAAAGGCACCATCAAACAGTATCACGATCAAAGCCTTGGTCTGAACAACTTCATCCAGCACCCCTTTAATTCCCAGTACGAGGCCTGAGCAGTCAGCATTCCTGATCAAAGACCTCAGTAGAACAGGACTTCACTGGAGTTTCACTGTAGATCTCCAGCTCGACATACAAATGAACGCCTCCTCAAAGCTGAGAGGACGTCATTGCAGTCTATTCATCTCTACTTACCCATAGGCAGAGGCCTCTAAAATACATTACAAGGTCTTGGATGAGACCTCATTGTGCCCTTATCATTGAACTTTACAAAAGTGCAATATAAAACTAGATTCTTGCATTTCATTAAGGGAATATGAGTGGTGTTTTGCTGAAGAGAACTTGCAGCCACAGTCCTAGGATTTGTGTTGGTATGTGGGTGCTATGGGGTGCGTTAGCCAACTATGGTCGCAAGTTTCGTCATTACCAACATAGTCCAATGATTCAGTGTTTCCTGAAATCATAGTTCCAGTGAATATTTGCAAACAGTATCATAAACAGGCATGGTTGGAACTACAGCTCTCAGCCTGTGGTTAGAAGCATGGCATATTGTTTGACATGTGGACTTAGATTGTATACACACCACCGTTTCTGAATAGTGGACACGTGAATAAATACGTAAGCCAGTGGTGTCCAATCCTGATCCTGGAGAACCACTGCCCTGCAGAATTTAGCTCCAATTCGATTTAAAGGAATAGTTCACCATAGTTCAGTACTTACTCTCATGTCGTTGCAAACCCGTAAGATATCCGTTCATCTTCAGAACACAAATTAAGATATTTTTGATGAAATCCGAGAGCTTTCTGACCCTGCATAGACAGCAATACAACTGACACGTTCAAGGCCCAGAAAGGTAGTAAGAACATCGTTAAAATAGTCCATCAGTGGTTCAACCTTAATTTTATGAAGCTACGAGAATACTTTTTTTGTGCACAAAAAAACGAACAAAAATAATGACTTTATTCAACAATTACTTCTCTTCTCTTCTCTTCTCTTCCTCTTCTCTTTCTTTGGTGTACATTCACAACAGTACCATGATGCATGCATTTGCATTCCTTTCCTTGCAATCAAGGCATATGGTTTCAAAACGCCAGAACATGCGTCGTGGTACTGTAGTAAACGTACGTTGAAGACTGACACGGAAGAGAAGAAATTGTTGAATAAAGTCATTATTTCTGTTTTCAAGTATTCTCGTAGCTTTATAAAATTAAGGTTGAACCACTGATAGACTATTTTATCGATGTCCTTACTAACTTTCTGGGTCTTGAACGTGTCAGTTATGTTGCTGTCTATGCAGGGTCAGAAAGCTCTCGGATTTCATCAAAAATATCTTAATTTGTGTTCCGAAGATGAACGAAGGTCTAACGGGTTTAGAATGACATGAGGGTGAGTAATTAATGACAGAATTTCCATTTTTTTGGGTGAACTATTCCTTTAAGCAACGAGTTATGTCATTGTATGGGAAATGCACCCCTGGGTGGTTGTGTTTTGGCCCAAGTCAAGGTGACCAAAAGTCCTTCCCTCAATTTAGTGGATTTTTTCACCTGTTTTTTCATTTACCAGGTGAAAATTGTCTTATCGATTATATAAAACTCTCACTCACAAAAACAACATCTTGTGCTTCTGTCCACCACAGTGCCAGTGGTCTCATGCTGGAGCGTCGCTGCACCCACACACTGCAGAAATGTACAGGATTCCCATCACAACCCTGGTGCCCGTCCTCCTCCTCAACCTGCTGTATGCGCCCGGTCCTGTACTGCTCGCCCTGCGTTGCAAACAAGAGCCGGACTACTTCCTTTCCATCACACCTGTGGGCCAAACTAACAATGAGAAGAAATTAAATTAAATCGATTGAACAAAAAAACAAAAAAACATTGACCTTGAAGGGATAGTTCACACAAGTATTGAAGTTCCGTCATCATTAACTCATGCTGGGTGAACTATTCCTTTAGAAAGAGTGCATTTAAAATTGTGTTAAATTGGCACAGCTGTGTTCCAGTGGGTTCCTGTTAATTTGGTAATCACGTAGGTTACAGGACCTTGCTTTTGAAACGTCTTGATTGTGTCAGTTGCCAGAGCTACGGCTGTTACTGAATTCCTCATGACAAAAACAACTCTAAATTGCAAGAAGCCGAGATCATTAAACCACGGCTTGTTCTACCTGTCTTGACACAACAAGACCTTTAACACTGCAGTTTATTAGCCTTCTGTCCTTCACTGTAAAAATCTCATGTGCTGCAACTAGAGGTCTCTTATTCCGGTGTATTTTCCTAGTTCTATCCATCTGTTCCACACAAATTTCACAGTTACATCTTAAATGTAACATGCCAGAACGTTCTCTTGAATAATTTACTGGTCTCATAGGTAATAAAATATTATCCTACAAGATCTTCATCTGGATATGCTGTATGTACATGATCAAGTCAGCAGGGTTGAGTTCTACAACTACTAACCTTAAAAGCAATCCTTGCTCAGCAGCTTTTTCATGCTGATGAGGAGCAATGCACAAAATTTCTGCTTGCACACACAAACAGCACTCTGTGTGGCATCAAATCAGTTCCAGTGGAATTAGTACAGAAATCTGTCAAGCCTAGCGGATAATTTCGGGCGAATTCCAAATGGCTTTTTTGCACCCTTGAAGGGCACTTCGGGAAGGGGGCGCCATTTGTAGGGACGTTCCAAACGAAAGTGAACAACTGAATCCCTTCACGAAGGGCCCTTCCAGAAGTCCGTTAGCGAAGGGAACATGCGATGGTCACTTCACGGAAGTGATTTCGGTTTGTGATCATGTGATCTTCAGTTAGAAGATCTTGCAATGCTTTTTAAAGTCAAGTTGGGGTTGATTTCGACTTCACAGACTAACGAAAATAGAATAGGCTAATTAAATTTGTCTATTTTAATGTAAGACTAAATATTTTTTCCTCAGTGATAGAAATATGATTTAAGACGGTAGTGCAAGCAAGTTTAAGCACGTTTCGTTTGAAAAAGTTTAATAGTAAATAAGACACAATTATACAATACTTGAAAATAATAATAATGATAAGAAGAAATATTTATTTGCAACAACTGATGGAGTGCTGATTGAATGCTGCACGTACGTGCAGTGTTGTCAAGGTAACATTTGGTCAGTCATTCCCTTCGCCAAGGGAGTTCCAAACGCTTATACGAGAGAGTAATGCCCTGCACCTCATTCCCTTCGGCAAGGGAGTTTCAAACGCTTATACGAGAGAGTAATGCCCTGCACCCTTCAAAGAACACACTTCAAGGGCTCTGCCCTTCGAAGGGAGTAGGGCATGGGATGCTCACTTCCGTTTGGAATTCGCCCTTCATTTCAGTGTTGACATACATGTGCATCTCAATAAATTAGAATGTCGTGGAAAAGTTCATTTATTTCAGTAATTCAACTCAAATTGTGGATGCCTTGACCCCAGCCTCAGTCCATTCCTTGTGAAGTTCACTCAAATTCTTGAATCGATTTTGCTTGACAATCCTCATAAGGCTGTGGTTCTCTCGGTTGGTTGTGCATCTTTTTCTTCCACACTTTTTCCTTCCACTCAACTTTCTGTTAACATGCTTGGATAGAGCACTCTGTGAACAGCCAGCTTCTTTGGCAATGAATGTTTGTGGCTTACCCTCCTTGTGAAGGGTGTCATTGATTGTCTTCTGGACAACTGTCAGATCAGCAGTCTTCCCCATGATTGTGTAGCCTAGTGAACCAAACTGAGAGACCATTTTGAAGGCTCAGGAAACCTTTGCAGGTGTTTTGAGATGATTAGCTGATTAGCATGTCACCATATTCTAATTAGTTGAGATAGTGAATTGGTGGGTTTTTGTTAAATGTGAGCCAAAATCATCACAATTAAAAGAACCAAAGACTTAAACTACTTCATTCTGTGTGCATTGAATTTATTTAATACACGAGTTTCACAATTTGAGTTGAATTACTGAAATAAATGAACTTTTCCACGACATTCTAATTTATTGAGATGCACCTGTATGTGGAGGTCATAATGTATTATATTAGATATTTCAGTATAGGGGTATAGGGGTAATTAGTGCCTTTCTCCTCCAATTAGTATTTCTCAGGTTTGGTTTATTTTTAAAAAGTCAGTTATAAATAAGCTATTGAACACATTGAAAATCGTTGATACAGTTAATTGAACACATATACTTACAGCAATAGTTGTCACAATGAAATGAATAGGCCATTAAACAGCCTTTGCTTTTCAATACAACTGAAACCTATAAAAAGATTTAAGAAACTGTAAAAATGCAGAATTTTATATACAAAAATGATCAAATCACTGTTTTGGCCAACAATGTAATGTAGCTATAACACTTAAAACGTGTCAACTCACCATTTTATTCAAAATATCTGTCAAAGGATCCAAATACTGTAACAAAAACATACTAAATAAGTAGTAATAAAGGAGAAGTCACGCTTTGAATGGAAAAACAAAATATTACACATATTATTGTAATTAATTGCAACAATGTGTAAAATTGCTCAAAAAAATCAATTGATAAAAAAATCAATAAACCCATATGAAGAGTTTATTTGCAAAAACTGATAAAAATGTTCAAAAATCATGTTTTTTTTAATCCTGCATTCCAATTAACATCAATCAAACTGCAGTTGGGTTATTTTGATTAAATAATAATAACTAAAGAAATACAGCTAACTAACACAATAAAAACATGATAACACAATAAAACATTATTTATGAAAATGAATAAAAACGGAGTTATTTTTTTTTTGCAAAGAAGCTCTTCATATATAGGCTTGTGCATTAGTTATGGATACTTAGCCTAGCATACTAAATGGCTTCTTGCATTAATTAATTCGCAAAGTCTAGTCATTTTAGTCTCAGTATCTTATAAATACTTACCAGCAGTCACTACGTGCTAAATTAAAATGTAATTGTAACTTTTAGAGCAGGAGAAAAAAAAAAGCTTTGGAGAATGCGGGCATCGATCCCGCTACCTCTCGCATGCTAAGCGAGCGCTCTACCATCTGAGCTAATTCCCCTTTCAGCACACTCCAGCTGGTATGCAAGTATGTAACATAAGTACGAAACTCTACTTCGCTCTCACAGTACATTTATTAATTATAGACCCGATACGACATCATATTATCATAGTTTCACGACACAATACACTCTATTTATCAGATATGCAGTCTCAAAGCCTACTTGCCAGTTCACATAATGAATGGGAAAGGGTCTGAAGTAGTTAAAAATAAGTTAAGGTTATTCGAGTTTACATATTCACGACAAAGTTACTAAATAAACTACCGAGTAAAGCTACAAACATCGAGTTTGCGAATAAATTCGCACAATCTGCAACATACGCAACCGTAAACAAAGCTAACTATACAAAATAAGTTACAACTTAAAAGACGAGGAACCCTCTTTGTTACCACAGCATATCAGCCTAGCACTAAGAGTAAATGAGAGTCTTCCAGCGCTGACACCGTCAGCTGCAGTGAAACCGAGTCAGAACCGGGACAGCTGCGCCGGAACGCGCGTCAGTGCACTGGAGCAATATTACTTCATACCCTCTCAACATAAAACGCGTCCTCTCATGATGTTGGTGAGTTCAGACTGCATGTGTGTGGGTTTTACTACGGTAACCTTGATAATGCGCAGTGCATTGCGGTAGGGGATGCTCAAAGATGCTGTAAGGGGAGTTGAGGATGATGATGATGTATGATTCCGTTGTGTTGTAGCTATATATATAATGTGTTTGGGCTGGTTAATGTGCTGCATAGTGTGTGTATGTGTGGTCTGGATCATGTTACACAAAAGAAGACGGGAAAAAGGCCTACATTTGTAAAGCAATACTGTATGACTTCGTTCAGACAGCAGACATCTGATTATTTTGCCATAACAGATTTCTAGACTCTACCTAATGTTTGCAAAACTGATCCAAACCACATGTATCATGCTGGTATATACATCATTATAAATGCAGTAGATTTAGATCAGATATTGCCCACATTGTCTGACGTTGTCAAAAATGAACAAAACCAAGCTCATTTGTGTGCAATGTGCCATTGTTCTGTGTGTGTGTGTTTTTTTTAAAGATCTTGTGCTTGGAAACCATTACCTGCACGCTGTTGTTCCTTTCACCCTTTGTGACCACCTACCCAGCTGACTTGGAGAAAGGACGGAGGAGAGTGGTTCATGTAATGGGTAAGAACTTCTTCTGTGCCGCTTTTTACCAGGTGTCCCAGATCACATTGTACATAATCTGGCAAATCTGCAGGCAAATCTGCAAATGCAGCATAAGCAGAAGAAGGTTATCATACCTACCGACAATTGCCTACTTGTAGAAAAACATTTTTCAACTGTGTTAAACATGCAGCCAACAAATAAATACCATTATTGTGTAAGTGCAGTGATATTCAGAGCACTTAATGTAAATGTTGACAGTCAGAGACCACTCCACCCACGAGTGATCTTCAGTGTATAACCTCACTTTGCAAGTTCAGTGTCAGTCCACCAGTGGTATTAAAAGAAAATCTCTTACGATCCCCAATTGAAGTGGCTACTCGAAGCTCAAGTAGGATTTAAAAGCAATATGCAACATCTGATAGTTGTTGCATATTTATATTGCAGGTAAACTTTATAATCAGTTTTAAGTCAACTAGGTCGCATTTCTTCATTTGGTATTCATTTTTATGTAAGCAAGAAAAAAGGTCATTAATTGAAGCTGTTGCACTAGCTGTCTTCTAACAGCATGGTCCCAACATTTACTTGGCAGCTGCAAATTACTTTCAAAAAGTCTGTGGTTACAGTGACATTGCTTTCAGTTTAGACCCTTTGCTTCGGATGAAATACTGGTTCTTTGGCTGTCTCTGACTGAATTAATGATAGGATATGTTTGGCAACCCTGCTTTCAAAAGAAAAGGTGTTGTGGTAACAAACATTTCAGAGTGCCAGGTATCCATCCAGCTGACAGTTTAAATGAGCAGATGTCAAAGCTGATTAGAGATCCAGCTATGCTTCAAGTGCCTTTGAACAGCCTTCAGACAAAAGCAAAGGATTCTGTGGGAAATAAAAGAAAAGGTGAAGGATTTAAGCATTTTCAATGTCTTTTTTAATGCCATAGTTATTAATTTTTCTTAGCTGGTTTTAAGATCAGATGCTTATTTAGCGCAACAGGTAAAGCTAAGGTACTCAGCAAGAGGGCCGCATCTGCATTACAATTGGCACTCTTAAAGGATATTCATGCAATATGCAGATTTTAGACTGATGTGACGTGTCGGTTCACTCAATTGAAAGGGACACAGCACAAAGAATACTAAAAGATCTGGCTATATTTGAAATGAAAATGACCCTATTTGCATATGAACTGCATGAAAAAGAAAACCACAAAATTGCATAGTTTTCCACAGTCCCATAAATTTTCACCCAAACCTTATTCGGCAAAGTCTCAAAACCTTTAAGAAAATTTTATTTAAAAATAGGGTAAATTCCAGTCAAATTGACAGTCAGTCTCAAATGTAAAAAATTCAACTGAAATTCATATTCAAATATAATTGCAACACTTTGAATTTAATTCGGTTTGAATGTGGCCCTGCTGAAGTTTCTGAAGTTTAGCATGGTGCTAGGAACTCAAAAGTTATGGGACTGATTCCCAGGTACACACTGATAAGGATAATTCATAGAGTGTAAAGTGGAAACTTCTTTCTCGTTTTCCCTAGAGGATGATACAGGGGCAGTGATAGTCCAGACTGCTCCAGGTAAGGTGGTCACTCATCGCGGTGGCACTATCACCCTTCCCTGCCGTTACCACCATGAACCAGAGGACGTCGACCGTAATCGCATCCGCATAAAATGGACGAAGGTTTCCGATGCTTTCCAGTTTGAAGACATGTTTGTAGCGCTGGGGCGACAACAGAAGACGTTTGGGTCCTACCGTGGTCGAGTGTCTCTGGAACGGGCAGGGCCAGGAGATGCTTCAGTTATTATTCACAACATCACCTTGCAAGACTACGGCCGCTACGAGTGTGAGGTCACCAATGACATGGAGGACGACACGGGATTTGTCAATCTAGACCTTGAAGGTTAGGGAACTGGTCTTGGTTGTAGTAACTAAGGGTGCTTTCAGACCTGGCCTGTTGTTTCGGAACCTGGCACGCTTCCCCCCCCTTAGCTCGGTTCGTTTGGGCATATGTGAACATGGCAATCGCGCTCGGATCCGCACCAAAACAATCGGTCCGAGATCGCCTGAACAAGGTTGTCTCGGCTCGATTGAAAACGAACTCTGGAGCAGTTCGGTTGTAGTGAGAAAGCAATCCGATCCAACGGACCAACGAACCAGGCTATATCACGATGTATGATGGGTAATTACGTAAGTTCCATGAAAAGCATATTGTTTTGCAAATACCTCAAAATGAACCTGTGAATTTCTGAGAGTGATCACGTCTTTGCCATTCAAAATCAAAGCGCGCTTTTTCATTTTATAATGCCGTCTTACTGCTCTTCTTCGTAGTAGGTGCTTGACAAAAATGTTTTCCCGATGAATCCTGGACTCAAAATGATAAATTAATATAACGACAGCTACAAAAAAAACCAACAATAAGCCCACAAAGCTGTTGTCATTCCATCCAGACTGATAACAGCTATGAGTGGAATCCCGGAAAATAAACGGTGGAACTTTGACCAATGAGAGAACAGTTTACTCTCATGTGACTTGTATTAACAAATTTGGCCCGTTTAGAAACTTTGCCATGTGAAAGCGAACCGCACCAAGAATAAAAAGCAACATTGTGATCATTTTAATCCCTGTTTCGGAACAAATCAATCGATCTACAGGTGTGAAAGCACCCTAGGATTGAATAAAGTGTCATATTCCTACTGAACCAACTTCTCTGAAACATTTTTCAAAGGTGTGGTGTTCCCATACTACCCTCCATCCGGACGCTACAAGCTGAACTACCACCAGGCAGAGGAAGTGTGCCGACAGCAAGATGCAATTCTGGCCTCTCATGCGCAACTCCACAAGGCTTGGCTTGAGGGGTTGGACTGGTGCAACGCCGGCTGGTTAGAGGACGGCTCGGTCCAGTACCCCATCTCTCATCCTCGAGACCAATGTGGCCACAAGGATAGCCCTCCCGGGGTCCGCAACTATGGCTATAGGCACAAAGAAGATGAACGCTATGATTCTTTTTGCTTTACCTCAAACCTCAACGGTGAGTGTTTACCTAGGTTGGAATTGCTTATTAGAGATCTTTTCCGGCCTGAGGCTGTTGGACCAGGTTCCTGTTGAGAAGGTCCTCCTGCTTCTCCTTTCACTGCCTTCCGTTTGATACCTATCCAATAAATGGTGCCAGTGCCACAAATGAAGGAGTCTTAACTGAGCACTGCATCAATTCCTGGAAAAT